TTTCAAACAACCAACTCTTGGTTTCCTTGATCTTTTGTGTTTTTCTTTGTTTTTTGCCTCTGTTTCATTTATTTTTGCTCTGACCTTTATATTTCCTTCCTTGTCCTCACTTTGGACTTTGTTTGCTGTTCTTTTTCCAGTTTCCTTAGGTGTAAAGTTAGACTGTTTATTTGAGATTTTTCTTGTTTCCATATTGCTGTGAATGTCCTTCTTAAGACTGCTTTTGCTATATCCCATAGATTTGAGGTCATTGTGTTTTCATTTCATTTGTCTCAAGGTATCTTTGATTTCTTCCTTGATCTCATTGTTGACCCATTTATTATTTAGTAGCATGTTATTTAGTCTTCATGTCTTTGTGTGTTTTTCAGTTTTTTTTCTTGTAATTGATTTAGTTTCATACCACTGTGGTCAGAGAAGACGCTTGATATGATTTCAGTCTTCTTAAATTTATTGAGACTTATTTTGTAGCCTAATATGTGGTCTATGTTGGAAAATGTTCCATGTACACTTGAAAAGAATGTATATTCTGCTGCTTTGGGGTGAAATGTTCTAAAAATATCAATTAAATCCAGCTGGTCTAGTGTGTCATTTAAGGCCGCTGTTTCTGTGTTGATTTTCTGTTTGGAAGATCTGTCCATTGGTGTCTGTGGGGTGTTAAAGTCCCCTACTATGATTGTGTTGCTGTTGATCTCTGCCTTTATGTCTGTCAATATCTGTTTTATATATTTAGGGGCTCCTATGTTAGGTGTATGAACGTTTACTAGGGTTATGTTCTCTTGTTGGATCGATTCCTTTATTATTATGTAATGTCCGTCTTTGTCTCTTATTATAGTCTTCATTTTAAAGTCTGTTTTTTCCAATATAAGTATTGCCACTCAGACTTTTTTTTTCGTTTCCATTTGTATGAGATATCTTTTTCCATCCCTTTACTTTCAGTCTTTGTGTATCTTTCAATCTGAGATAGACCTCTTGTAGACAACACATGTGTGGGTCTTGTTTTCTTATCCACTCAGCCACCCTATGTGTTTTGATTGGAGAATTTAATCCATTTACATTTAAAGTGATTATTGGTAGGTACATATTTTATTATTCTTCAACCATTTTATTCTTTTTTTTTTTAAGATTTTGTTGGGGAATTGGGGGAGGGGAACAGTGTTGGGGAATTGGGGAAGGGGAACAGACAAGTTGCTGTCCTTTTGTTCTTCAGTCTAGTTGTGGAGGACGTTGCTTCACTGGCCCATGTTGGTATTATCATTGCACTCTTCCCGGCTGAGGCAGTTGCTTGCCAGCCATTGGACAGCTGCTCATGGCAGCTCACGAAAGCTCACGCCCACTGCCGGCCAGCCCCACTGCAGCCTACGCCATCACCCGTGACTGACGGCAGCCCAGCTCCAGGTCGAGCTGTTGTTCACCATCTTAGCTGTAGAGGGCGCAGTGTCACTGGCCCTCATGTGTGGGATCCGAACCGGGGCCCTGCTGCTCAGAGCTGGTGTCCCAAGCCAACTCCTAACCAACGCGCCACTCAGTCAGCCCTTATTATTCTTATTTTTGATGTTCTTTTGTTTGTTTGATTTTCACCTTCTTTCTCTTATAGAGGTCCGTCTAACATTTCTTGTAATACGGGCTTGGTGGTAATGAATTCCTTTCGCTTTTTCTTGTCTGGGAAGCTCCTTATCTCTCCTTAATTTTTAAATGACAGCCTTGCTGGATAGGGTAGTCCTGGTTGTAGGCCCTTGTTTTTTCATCACTTTGAATATTTCCTGCCACTCCCTTCTGGCCTGCAAAGTTTCTGTTGAGGAATCAGCAGACAGTCAATAGGAGCTCCCTTATAGGTACCTAATTGTCTTTCTCTTGCTAATTTTAGGATTCTCTCTTTATTTTTAACCTTTGCCATTTTAATTATAATTTGACTTGGTGTGGGCTTGTTTGGGTTCATCTTGTTTGGACTCTGTAGTTCCTGGGCTTGTATGTCTGTTTCCTTTGCCAGGTAGGAAAGTTCCCCATCATTATTTCTTCAAATAAATTCTTAATCCATGCCTCCCTCTCTTAGCCTTCTGGTACGCCTATGATGTGAATGTTGTTATGCTTGATATTGTCCTAAAGGTCCCTTAAGCTGTTCTTTCTTTTATTATTATTCTTTTTTCTTTTTGTTTTTCCTATTGGGTGTTTTTTTTTATTGGGTAATTGGGAGGATGGGAACAGTGCTAGAGAATTGGGGGAAGGGGAACAGACAAGTTGCTGTCTTTTTGTTCTTCAGTCTAGTTGTGGAGGACGTTGCTTCACTGGCCTAAGTTGGCACCATCGTTGCACTCTTCCCGGGCGAGGCAGATCAGTTGCCGGTTTCTGGACGGCCACTCACTGCAGCTGCTTGCCTGCTCACACTGGCTGCTGGCTACACACGGTAGCCCATGGCAACCCACTGCCACAGGGGCTGCAGCCTACGCCTACGCAGGCGACTCACAGCAGCCCAGCTCCAGGTTGAGCTGTTGTTCAGCATCTTAGCTGTGGAGGGCAGTGTCACTGGCCCTCATATGTGTGATCAGAACCGGGGCCCTCTGGCGTCCCAAACCAGCTGTTAACCATCGCACCACTTGGCCGGCCCCTATTGGGTGTTTTTTACTACCTTGTCTTCTAAATCACTGAATTGATCCTCTGCTTCATCTAATCTGCTGGTGATTTCTTCTAGTGTATTTTTCATTTCAGTTGTATTCTTTATTTCTGACTGTTTTGCTTTTTTAATGATTTCTATGCCCTTCTTTATGCTTACTGTCTCTTTGTTGAAGTTTTCAATAAGTTCCTTAAGCATTCTTACAACCAGCGTTTGAAGCTCTGTCTCTGGTAGGTTGGTTGCCTCTATTTCATTTGATTTTTTTCCTGGAGGTTTCTCCTGTTCTTTTGTTTGGGACATGTTTCTTTGTTTACTCTGTGTTTGTTTCTATGTATTCGGTAGATCTCCTGTGTTTCTCTTTGCTGGGTTGCCTTATGTAGTATATGTCCTGTGTGGTCCAATGGCAGTTTCTCTGATCTCCTGTGTGTGTGTTCTAGGAGTGTCCCGTGTGAGTGTTGTGTGTATTGTCCTGTTGTAGTTGAACCTTGATTACTTTTGGCGCCAGTGAGTGGGATTAGCTCTTAGGCTCACTGAGGCTTGGCTGTGCCCACAGTGTATGAGCTTCTGTGTGGGGGCTGACTCCCTCAGAGGAGGATTCGCCTCCACAGGCGCTTGTGCCTGTTGAGACCACCCTTTGTGCCACTTGTGGGGCTAGCCAGGTAGTGCTCTGGTGTGGTCTGAAGCCGGCCTCTGGATGTGTTGTTTCTGGTGTCTGTTGGGAGGGGTTTCCATGCAGGCCAATTTCAGCCTTGCCTGTGACCCACTCGGGGCTACCTGGTAACAGCCACAAAGCTACATGTGGTTGATTGCTGCCTGTGCTGGACCTGGAGGCTTGTGGGTGTGGCCTCACTGTGAACCAAGGCTGGCTACCACCAGTATTGGGCCTGGGGCAGAAAGCTTTCTTTTAAAGATTAAAAGAACATAAGTTGCCAGACTCACTGTGTTTAAATATTTTAAATGACACAGCTTCCTTGGTCAGCTGATTAGCTGCTTGAGCTGGAATATATTCTCCTAAGTCAAACATAGCATCTAAATTCAAAGTCGGCCAAAGTGCCTGTTATATACAGTGTATTCAAACAGGAAAATTGTGTCTATGCTTTCTCCAGCAAGTAATTTTATTTAATGTTTTCTTTATATATTTTTAAATTGTAGAGTAACCTCCTTAATTAACATTCCCTGTGGATGACTCTTCAGAAATTGGAGAGAGAAAAATGCATTTTTGAAGAAACACATTCAAAGGCTCTTAGCACTTTTTCTTAAAAACACTTTTGAATATGAACAACAACAAAAAATGTGAACATCAAGCCAAGTTTTTTGGAGGGCGTTTTTTCTTCAGTTTCCAGGGATGGTGGCACGCTCACCCTACAGCAGTCCGAGGGGTGGAATGATTCACCATCCCATCACTATGTGAAGCAGCAACCCTCCTGGGTGTCGGCCTTCTCTATGCTGGGATCTGTGAAACACTGACCACCTACGTGGATTTTTCTTCCCTGATCTTCCACCCACAAGACAAGCATGTAAAGTTGTATTTGCAAATTGCCAGAACTTTATAGCTCAAAATGAATTGGGTTTGGGTTTTGTTTTGTTTTGTTTTTGTTTTTGTTTTTAATGTCTTTGAAGAAGCTTCCCTGCGAGTGTCCACAAATCTTTAGGGAAATTGATATTTTAGTGCTATATGCATGATGATGCCTCTTGTAAGAAGTAGTTTTTTTTGAAAGAAAACTGCTCTGACTCTAAATGTTGACCTCGGCCACTTCTGTCCATTTAGGGCCATATCCTAGGAGGAGAAGCCTGATTTTTCTTTTATATGTTGCCTCTTTATAGCCAGACTTACAAGATAATATTAAGTGTTCTATGGTTTTCTGCTAATGTGGTTGCTCTGGACCCTGTTTTCCCCCAGAAGGCTGATTGATTTTCTTACTCTTCAACAAAATGACATTTTTCTTTGGATCAGGTGATGGTAATGATTCGTGCTGTTTTTTTTCATTGCTACATATTGTTTAAAGGCATTAATGCATTTTTTTATAGGCAGTTGTCAATTAACAGATTAGAAAGAATTGTCTTTTCCTTCATATGAGGCCCTGCGCTTGGGTCTTGGTTGTTCTTGTGAGTGATTTCTATTTTGATTGTTTCATGTGATAAGATTTTTATCAAAGTCCTACTTACCAAATACCATGAGCACATCAAAAATATATTTGAAATAGGTTTTGGTTTCCATGTCCAGCTTATATTTAGGACAAGTATGTGAATAACGTATACAATATATCAAACAAGTTAACTTTTTATGAAGTTGTCATACACTCTATGGAATCAACTGACCTGTTATCTTTTTCCAATAGTGCTTTCATTTGAAACTATTTCTGATATGAGAGAATTTTTTTTTTTTCTTTAGCGTTGGGCAACCATTCCAAGGGGCTTATCTGGAAATCAATAAGAATCCCAAGTATAAGAAACTCCAAGATGCCATTGAAGAAAAGATTATCATTGCTGAAGTTGTGAACAAAATTAACCGTGCAAATGGGAAGGTAAAAACGCTAATTAACCCTGAAGAACTGCAAGAAGTGTTTATCATTTGGGACAATCATCTTCAGTTTTCTGACTGTTAAAATTTATATTTCTTATTCTCAACAGGGTTACTGTGAAGGGAGCTACTTTCCCTTACCTTTAAGCCTTAGAGGAATTTTGCTTGTTTTCTGAAAAAAAA